CAGACGTTAAAAGTTCATCGTGATGCCACTTTTACCTTTTTTTGGTTGTCCTCCTTTTAAAAATGGAAATGTAATTAAAAGAAAGGCAAGCGCTCATCCCCCTACTGCTCCACAGACACTATCCTGAAAGTTTAATCTAACAGGCAAAAAAGCAATCAAAGAAGAGGCTCCATTCTTAACAAGCTGCCTCAAGTCAGTATTTTTTAAATGCAGCCGACAGCCAAGGGGAGGGAAATAGTACGTTTCACTAGCTTTTCCCAACTGCATGGCTGTTGATGTATTATAATAGCGTGATAACTAGAAAAATACTTTAACGTTCCAGTTTTAACAAAAACTTCTCAAAAAAAGAAAGTCTCACCCTAAATTCATTCCAGTGTCTTTTTTTATGAAGTCAGGGCTGACTTGGTCTCTTCCCTCCCGCCTACAGGGATGAGAGCGGGGCTGGGCGGTGGGGCAGGACCTGCTCCCAGGCGGAAATACTCAGTGAAAAGTTGCATCAAAATATTGATTTTTCAACAGAACTCACTATTTGCTTGACTCGATGTTATATATTTGCCTAAAGAATCACACTGGGGAAGAAAAAGCACATGTTTAGGCCCTTTTAGCAACAATGGATGACTTGGAAACAGCGATGAGCAAATCCTAATTTTTTCAAAGCCATTTGATTTAGGGCTCAGATTTCCTGATAACTTGTTAGGATTTGGGTTTGCAAGACAGGTGTTTGGCATTTCTAACTCCCTGCTCCCTTTAGGAGACATCAAACCAAGCACTAAACTCCTACAGTCGTGAGAGTTCAAGTCAAGGTGGTTTTTGTTTTGCTTTTCCCCCTGAAGGTCAATTCAGGATTGAATCCTTTTGTCAAGGTTGGCTGGAGAGCAGAAGGCTTTGTTAATCTGCAGGCACTGCGGCTCCCTCCTGGCTTCCTTCCCTTGCAGTTTGTTTTACTTCAGGATTCACCCCCTGGGATTGTAAAGGCTGCAGACGAGGGTTAGAGGTGAAACAAAGAAAACGAGGTTGGCTGTTTATTCAGAGGGAGCCAGAATTCATAATGTTGGAGACACTGGGCTCCTCCCAAGAGATAACCGTAATTTTACAGCACCTCTCCACAACTTTTTTTTTCCAGAAATAAAATACAGTGACAGATCCAAAATACCACTTCCCTGAGTAACTCCTAGAGCCAAAATAAGAAAGAGGTTTTTTACTGCAAAGTGACCAGCCGCTGGAACAAAACAAACATGCTTCCATTGATCTCCACGTGGGAAAGCATCTGAAAAAAGAAATAAAGACAACTTTGCCTCCTTCAGAGACCTTCTTCTTTTATTCACTCAACTTGTGCCTTATTATAGAGGTCTTTTTTTGACCATAGATCTTTTTTCCTTAGGAGATAATCTTCTTATCCCTCTCCTTTTCAATGAGAAGGCCAAATTTTGCTTTCATTTATTCGCTGTGGAACCTCACTGACCAGTAGCTAACAGGCACGTCCCGTCCCACGTGGGCAGCCTGGCAATATATTTTCTCTGTTCATACCTTGTTTTAACGATCACAACAACAGCAAGGGAAGGTGCAGATGCATCCATTACACCTAAGGAAAAACCTTGCTCTTTCCCCAGGCTTTTCCGGGTGTTTGCCCTCCAGGGCAGCATCGGCTTGCAATGAGATCGCTGGATTTACAACAGAGCAAGTGGTTGTACAACAACAAAAACTGGATTCCAGGGTCCTGATAAGAGAAGGTAAGCCATCCTGTGACCAGAGCCTGGCCAGTCAGCCGACCACTAATCCGGGGTGAATCTGCTGGCGTCAGTGGCTTTACGCTAAACACACACTGGGGTGAAAAATGAGAGTCGCAGCTCAGCTCAGGCAGCCCAGCTCCAGTGCTCTGCTACCAGAAGTGGCTGCTTACTTTCAAGCTCTCCGCACAGCCTGTAATCACCCAATATTGAAACCAGATTTACAAGCTCTTTAGAGGAGGAGAAGTTTGTGATTTCCAAAGCAGATGCATTTGGTATTTCAGAAAAAGGTCAAGCCCCCTGTGGAGTACGGGGGTTTTAATAGAATCAGTTCAGCAGGAGTTGAGAGGAGACATACCAACCCAGCAGCTCTCAAAGCCAGGAGAAGCAGAGACATAAGAAAAGCCACAACCATTATTGTTTTGAGGAAAGAATCAGGGAAAGAGAGGCGCACGGGGATGCTAAATTACATCTTGGATGTTTGATTTCATTTATTCCAACCCGAGAGACTTTTCCAGTTAGAAATAGAGAGGGTTGTCCTTCTTACGCTCCAGGGCTTGCAGCGGTTTCAAAGAAAGGAGTGTTTGTTATTGTCTGCAGGGGAAATCTGAGAGTGCGTAGCACAATGACAAATCCAGGCTCCTAAGTCAAATGCATTTTAAAAGGATAGCCATAGCTTACTGTCTCACCTCTTTGGCCTCCAGCCTCTGGCCAGGCTCTTCAGCTATTAATGTTTGTTCCCTGCCTCACTAGGTGGCATGCAGTGGGTGTCTAGGACTGCCTTGTTCCACGCCGGTATGGCACCCAGCAGCCGGGAAGCCCATGGAACATCACTAAGGTCCCTCTTTGTCACAGGAATACAGGTTTTCTGAAAGGTGTAACGGACACCTGGTGTTGCTGAGGTCTGCAGGTAATATAAGCAGCCACTACAGAAATACTTACTAGCGATGCAGGTGGCTACTGCTTGCTCCAACACCCTTCGGACTCTGCAGTCAGCAGTTTCAGTGAAAAGATTTGGGGCTCATTCCATAACTCGCATAGCTGCTGCCAGACAGATACCAGAGCTCATAACATAGTTTCCTGAATATATGGGCTTTAAAATAAATTGGAAATCCAGATTTCATCCTTAGAATACTCGCAGGCCAAAAACTTCTAGGCCGCATCAGCTACCACACCTAAACCACACATACCGCACCAGGTAACAGAACAGCCCCAGGAGACGGCAGCTGCTAACCAGAGTGCTGTGCCGTCCCCAGCGACTCCGTGGCCCTGCTCCCGGGACTGCAGGGGAAGGCAAACAATCTCTTTTCTTCTTTAAAACACCTCCACAGCAAGGGGCCAATTAGAGTATCCTGGTCTTACTAGCCTTTTAATGGCAAGCATAAATAGGTCCCTATGTATTCAAATAAGCAGCAAATGAGTGGTGAAGGTTACAGGATGCTTAAATGACTATACAACACACTCCCTCAGATTGCTGGAGAAAGCACTTGAAAGGTTTAGCCATCAGATCTTCTTACTTGTCTAGTCATCATAACTACGCCTGACAGACAGTATTTCGAGTTTGTCTCTTTCAGCACCAAGTTCCCAGCCAGTCATTCCCAAAAATAATACACTTGGCAGAGCAGACAACTGCCCTAGACTTTCAGATCAGTGCAGAGGCAGGGCAGAGCTCTTATAGGAAAGCAGCACTTTGAAAGGTCAGCCAGAAGACCACAGGCCAGATTCCAATAGCAGTTGCAGCCACAAAATTTCTTAAACTTTAGCAGCAGAAAAAGGTAGAAATCAGAGAACATAGTTCTCTGCATTAAAAGCAACTCTCCAGGCACTTCGAGGAAGTAAGAAGAGTCAGCAGCTTGAGGTACATAGATGAAACTAATCCTTCTAAACTACACTTTAATATTGCGAACGGGCACAGTAGGACCGTGGCATTCCCAAGGCTCTCGCCGCACTCGGCTGGTATGAGTGTTTGACTGTATGGGTAAGTTTGCAATATCAATACCTCTGTTTGCACAGCCAAGCGACCAACTTATCTGCAACAAGCCTACCACATAGTTTAAGCGTACTTTCAGGAACACCAGCTTGTGCCTTAGAGGGGCGGGTTTCCCTTGCTTACATCCCTTTGCATTTCAGGCTGCATATCCCAAAGCAATCTACCATCGTAAGCAGTATACAAGATCAGAGAGCATTGCTGCAAGGTTGTTGTAACCCCATTTGTGCCATCATCCCCTTTTCACTGGCAGCAACAGTAGGGGCTCAACTTCACAACCAGAACAGAAGGAGGCAGAAGCATTTCTAAAGCTATTTAAAACATAGATGAATACTAGACTCTTGCCAAGTTTTATCTCATGCAGCAGCATTCCAGACCCTTCTTTCACCATGATGTGGCATCTGCCTTTTAAGCAAGTCTACTTTAATTACTGCAACAAAGTCTAATAAAGCAAGGAAAATAAATACAGTAAGCTCCTTGGATAATCCAGAGGTTTTGTTTGTTTTTAGCAACTAGGCATTGAATAAATGAAATGATCAAGTGAAGCCAACCAGCTGAAGGAGTAAGAAACAACTAAGTGCACAAATACTGGCAGGAAAGAGAAGCCACCTATGCAACAATAGCATAAAGGAGGAGCCAGAGATTAAAGCGAGCACACTGTTGATTCTTCAGTCCCACACAAAAGTAGCAACATGTGATACCGAGTTACACTAGAGAAGAGCGAGGCAGATGTTTTCCACTGTGCCCAGAGGTGTTATCATCAGGAAAAAAAAAATATACACAGCAGAATAGGCATCGTGGTTTTGGGGGTTCCCTCCCCTTCTCACCCACCTCACCAAAAAAAATATTTGAGTAAAGGGTACGAAAGGAAAAAAGATCACAGAAAACAAGAATTGTGAGACAAGGGAGGAAAACCAGCTATAAAGAATTAGGACCCACTTTCTGACATGCTTTGCACAGAAAGAGGAAGCACTTCATTAACACAGAGGAAGAAATAGTTATCACACAAAGCTGCAGAAGAACTCACCCAGGTTATGAGCAAAATGCAATAGCCAAGAATTGAGGATGTGGGTTCACTGCTACTTGAAGTATTAAAACAATACAGCTGCCACCCTTGTTCTGAAATAACCACCTAATTTCCCTCACAGAGTAGGAAAATAGACTCTTGTTTCAGAACCCAGTTGTTATGCATGGCATTACCATGCATACCACCCTGATTTGTTTCCCACCACCACCACCACCCCCAAAATAAAATCATTTTCCAAAACAAAAGAGTCACAAGCAAGTTTCAGACAAAATATATATATTTAAAAAAATCTTTACAATAAGTCAGGAAACATAGGAGCTTGCATACAGTTTATTATAATAACTCAGTTCTCAGCTCCCTACAGTTCAGATAACCCTGGTGACAGTGTTTACAACTTCTAATTTTTGCTTTCATAACTTTAAAGCAAACAATACATTTGAGTGTATTTTACTCTGTGCAAATAAGACAACTTTTGGAATCCTTCAGAAGAAATATCCAAGATTCTGTTTGCAGAGGTCCTTTGTTTCTCAAAGATGATTTGTGAGAGTTTGTTTTAAGATAAAGTGCTCCTGTCCAGCAGAACCCAAAGGCCTTCAAGAGTTCAGAGAGTAAGTTTAGCTCAGATTAAAAAATAATTGGTCATACAAATTCCAGCTTCCCATGTCCGCTGTACATTCCCCAGTGGACTAGCGAAAGAATTTTATCATTGCTGAGGTCTGAATGTCTCATTTTATCACAGGTCATGCAGCAGTTCTCGTGACCAGTCACAGGCACCATGCATTCCAAGTCCAATTTTGCCACCTGCCCTTTTTTCGAATGATGTCCATGAAAACTATAGTGCAAACGGGAGAGCATTTGCTGTCTTTGATCTTGCAGTCTCTTATTTTCACTCCTGAGCATCCGCAAGGCCAGCATGATAAGGAGCACCAAGATTAGCCCACCAGCTATAGGAACAGCAATTACAGCTGCCCTGAACCATAACTCTTTCGAAGAGGTCAATTCCTGTACCTTGGTGATGAGATTCCTGCTGCTATCATGTTGATATCTGCTCCCTTGTCCTGCAAAGGGGAAAGACGTGAAGCTTATTTCAGTATCAACAACTGGTTTATATATAAGCAACTCCCTTAAACACCACACTGACAAGTTTAAGGAGCCACAGCTACACACTCTGCAGTATCTACAGAAAATACCCCTATAAAGAAAAAGATGAGTTTCTAAGGCTGTTTATAACATGGAATTTCTTACCCTGACAGCCGATTTAACTAGAAATGCCACTGCCATTGCTTCTTAGAAGCGATGGCAAGTTGGCAAGACAGACCTCTAATATTAATGCAGACAAAAAAGCTACTCAGCTGAGGTGCTCCCCTGCATCCAGCCACCCGCTTCTCCCTCTGGTGGGTCTACTTACATTCACAACTAAATCAATAGCAGACGTACAAGGTTTTGACTGTCACCAGCCTGATGGCCAGAAAAGAGATTCACTGAAGCTTCCTTGCCCTACCTGAAGTATCGCCCCTGGAAGGAGACAAAACATCATGCAGTCCTCTGTAATTGCACATATCTTCATGACAGCATTCCAATGTGGACATGGTGGTGGTGCCAGAGTGGTTTTGTGCTTGTTTGGCTTGGCAGATATCAGCTGTGCTTGCAATAGAGTCCAAGCAGCCATGAGTAAGTGGGGAATGTGTATTCTGAGGATCAAGCAGTCTGGAGAAGCAGGCGCTAAGCTCAGATTTGCACATATAGCCAGTTGCAACACAGTGTGCAGCATCACAGTAGCATCTGATTTCACCTAAAAAATAAAAGTTGTGCAAGAAAGGTAAGAATTTGGCCCTTTAAGGACACCTCGCTAGGTACTCTTATTAGCCACAAGCATCGCACAACCAAACTCAGTGCCAGCTTTGGAGTACTCCTCTAGACTGTAAATCCATGAGAGCAGGGGTTGTTTCCTTCCCATCACTGTACAGTGCCTACCTCGTTGTAACCTTAATCCCTGCAAATGCCTTGAGGCACTTGTTTTAATTACTAGTACTATAGTCCTTTGAATTAAAGCAAAAACATTTCACTAAAACAGGGACTGGGGAAGGGGGGCGAGCAAGGTCACAGTGGCTTTTTTTTTTTCCCAAGGTAACTAAGGAACAAGACCATTTTATAGCTACTTCCACTCGCTGTCAGCAGTTGCATTAAACCACATTTAAAATGAAATCCCAGTTTTAAAAGCAATACACACCTTCAGTTCTATAAGGAAGTCACATCTATGTTTTAAACCATTACTACAGGAACAGCATTCTATTTTTATAAACCTAACGCTTCTTTTAACTGGGCGTAAGCACACAACAAAAATACTAGGTTTAAATATTTGTGTGACAAATGAAAAAAAAATTGGAACTGCTGAATTGTTTATTACCTCTCAATACTGTGCCAAAATTTAAAAGGTTTAACTAACACCTTATAAAGCTATTAGCTAGAACCATTACCATCTAAGTCTCACAGTCAGGAAGGTTTTTACTATGTGAAACTGGGCAACTATTTGTAATTTCTCCAGAAAGAGAAAAATTCTTTAAGTAGCCATTCATGCAAAAAGGCTTTTTTTATCAGTATTATAAAACAGAAACAGTGCAGTTTATAATTAATCAGTTCGCCAGAGTCTATGTCTCTCAACTCAAATGTAAAGTTACTAAATGGGGTGAAATTGCGAGGCTAAAAGCTCCCCCTTGCCCCTCCCAAATTTTGCATGCAATCCAACATGCGGTCGAAAGGGGAAACACTTAGACTGAAAATCCTCTACTGGCTCTATGAAAAATCTCTCAGGAAACCTCAAAAATTTCTGAAGGAAGCGATAAAAAAAGTTCCCTTCATAAAACTCTTCATTTTGTGCTCTCCAAACTGCTCTGGTACGAATTATACGTGTCCTGTGCTGTAAGGAAAACTTACTCTTTCCAGGCAAGTTGCAACGCAAACATAATTCAATGTGCCATCGATCCAAGGTTTAGGAGGAAGCCAGATTTTGGAGCAATCCTGAAAAGAATGGACTTAAAACTACTTCTAATGTGCCTGGTGTACTTGCCATCAGTGGCACCAAGGCTTTCAAAGTTAACTGAATTGTCAGATGTCTTCCTTCTACAGTCTGCACTCCAAAAAAAAAAAAAAAAAAAAAAAAAAAAAAAAAAAAAAAAAAAAAAAAAAAAAAAAAAAAAAAAAAAAAAAAAAAAAAAAAAAAAAAAAAAAAATATCAATCTACAGGATCTACAGGCTTCCCTGCTGCCATTCCTTAAGATGCTTCCTGCCACCCCATACCTAAAAAGCATTCCGAAAGATGTTAAAAATCATCCCAACTAAGTTAGCTTCCCCTCTTCAGCCCACCTCAATACTTTCCCCAAAATGCTACTGCGGGCTCCAGGCCTTGAAGTTCCCGCTGCTCTTTAATAACTCTGGCTTAATAGAAGCCAAATGATGGAGTGTCTCACTGTCTCCAGTCCAATTCCCTTGGGCTTTAAGACCAAGCAACCTAATTTTTCACAAATTCACACACACTGTCATCCAGCGTGCTATGGAAAAAAGACTCGATCATTTTCTAAGCATTCTATGTGAGGTCTTCCCCCTACCCTCTCTGAAAAAAATAATTTTCATCATTTTCTCACTGTATGAGAGTTAAAAATAAGATGCAAACAAGGGACAGCATGAGAGCTGACAGTCCTTTCATGAGTCTCAGCACAGCACGGGAAGAAAGTGAAACAACACACATACTTCCATTTTAACTGTTTATACAATCACGCTTAAATTTCTACATTTTATTGACCTAAGACAGTCTTATAAACTAAATCTGACAAGCTAGTCATCAGGTTAATTCAACAGCTTTATAATTAAAGCCACGTTTTCGGTGAAACAGAATGGACTTTGTACGACTGTATTAAAACTGTATTTCTGTCAATTCATAAAGTTTCTTCCTGTGCTATGCAAAAGGCCAGAAAGGGTATTTAGTATTTTGAAACAGTGAACAATGCCCTTCTGTTCCCTCCTCTTTCTTGTTACTGTATGTAGCTATTAAAGAAAAATGTCTGCTTTTAGTCAAGATGGCTACAGGAGAGACTGCAGGCTTCTCTTAAAGCTTTTGAAGTCAACAGCAGCCAGAAGTCTGTGATCCCCTAATTATATCATTATCAGGCACATAGTTTCAGTATCTGCGACTTCACATCACTCAGTCACTCCCTGTTCTGCCCGCTTTGATGGGGCCAGCAGGCTCCCCCCTGCACGCTGCAAGGGCTGTTATTTAGGGTTAATTACAGCCTTCCTTCCAAAATAAATAAATACCGTCGCACATCATCACCGCGCTAACTTATCCTTCAACCTCCTCGCCCGGAGCACGGCGATCACAGGCAGCCAGAGGGTCGCCTCTGCCCCGGGAGGGCGCTCCC